CGCGCGGCGACTCCAGACACAGCAGGGACAGCACCAGTACCCCCAGCGGCAGCACCAGCGCCAGCAGCACCTCCAGCTCCAGTACCTCCAGCAGCACTAGTAGCACCCCCAGCAGGACCGCCTCCAGGACCGACAGCAGTAGCCTCAGCGTCAACACCCTCAGCAGCTCCAGCTCCAGTCGTACCCGCAGGCCCAGCAGCTCCAGTACTCCCAGTACGAGGACCTCCGGGACCCGCGGCACCAGCACCCTCAGCAGCCGAAGAACCTCCAGCTCCAGCAGCACGCCTCCAGCGCCGGGCAAACCACTCGCGTAGCTCCTGTGGAGAGAGTGGCTCCCGCCGAGACGAAGCACCCGGAGAACCTCCAGGCTCAGCACCGCCAGACGCCACACAAGCAGGCCCAGCTCCCTCAGGCTCCGCACCCCCAGGCTCAGCACCTCCAGGCGTAGCACCCCCAGGCTCAGCACCCCCAGGCTCAGCACCCCCAGGCTCAGCACCCCCAGTAGTAGCACCCCCAGGCTCAGCACCCCCAGGCTCAGCACCCCCAGTAGTAGCACCCTCAGGCTCAGCACCCCCAGGCGTAGCACCCACACGCTCAGCACCCCCAGAGTCAGCACCCCCAGGCTCAGCACCCTCAGCAGCACCAGAGTCACCAGTAACCTCGACAGGCTCGACTGCGTCTACCTGGGACACACCTGAAGGGGCAGGACCCTGAGGGGGGAGGGGGTCTACCGGGGGGGGACCTGGCACAAGGAAGAGCGGTGGCGGGGGGAGGGACGGAGTGCGGTAGGGGAAGAGGCGGTAGTAGGGGACCGACTCGTCAAACGTGACGTCCTGGGAGGACAGAACACGGCGAGAGGTGGGGTGGTAGAACTGCCACCCTGGCGCGTCAGGGGGGAAGCCAAGGAAGACGCAAGGAGCAGCACGAGGGGACAGCTTGTCCGCAGACAAGTCGCGGACAAACGCCCGAGATCCCCAGACACGGAACGCAGACGCATCGCCAACCTTCCCCGTCCACAGCAAAGCTGGGGAGGTCTCCGGCATGGAGACCCTGGGGTGAAGGTTGATCTGATGCGCCGCGTACCGAACCGCAAACGGCCACAGAAAATGGGGGGCAGCCGCATGCATCATGGACGTACGGGCGACGTCCATGACCATGCCAATGCGGCGCTCAGCAATCCCATTTTGCTGTGGAGAGTCCGGAAGCGTGAAGGTCTGGCGGATGCCTCGTGCACGACAGTAGGCTCGCAGAAGGCCAGAGGAGAACTCTCCACCTCTGTCAGAGTGCAGACGCAGAACAGGAAAGTCCGAGCCGAAGCTCTGCCTGAGCTGGAGACGAGCTGCGCGGATCCAGTCGATCAACACCTCAGTGACATCACCCTTGCTGCGCAAGGGGAAGACTGTGGTGTAACGCGAGTAGTCGTCAACCACCAGCAGGAAGTAGCGCTCGTGACCCTGTCCACGGACGCGGGCCGGGCCCCACACGTCCATGTGAAGCGTCTGCAGCGGGGCCTCTGTCGGAGGAAACTGGGAGGAGTGAGGGGCAGCCCGCTGCCGCCCCTCGACACAAGGGACGCAGGTAGGGCCGGGCCCCGGAGGAAGGGGAGGGAGGGACCGGGGAAGACCAGAGACAAGGACACGGGAGGCCATGCCTCGGAGACGAAGCAGGGAGGGGTGACCAAGGCGGTGGTGCCAGAGGAGAGTCTCGTGCGACAGGAGGCGACACGAACAGGGGGCAGACTCAGGACCAGACCTGGACGCTGCAGCAAACACCTGACCCGACGCAGCTACCTGACCAGACGCAGTGACTGGAGGAGACGCAGTGGTCAGTGTGTACAGGCTCGACCCCGGCCGACGTGTAAACGTGGCCAGGTGTCGGCCTGTTCGAGCGTCCGTGCAGTGGGTCACCCGCTAACTCGCAGGAGTGAACTGGTGAACCCCCGCATCCTGTAGGTCAGCACCACTCACCAAGTTCGTAGAGAACGAGGGGAGGTAAAGACCAGACAGGGTGCCAGAGGGGGCCGCCGGACACGGGAGGACAGTGGAGAAGTGAGCAAGGACAGGACCCCCAGAGGGGTCTGCCAGAGAGACTGCAACTGGCCGGCCAAGCGGCGTGAGTGTGGTGCGGTCTCGAAAGAAGGAGCGAGAAGCCCCCGAGTCAAGGGTGAAGGTGTGGGAGGCCGAAGCCGACGCAGTACCTGAGAGAGCAGACTCACCAGCACCTGAGGGAGCAGACGCACGAGCACCTAGAGCAGCAGCCTCGCTAGCACCTAGAGCAGCAGCCTCACCAGTACCTAGAGCAGCAGTCTCAATGCCCGGGTCGGGCGGAAAACACCGGTAACAGTCACCCTCATCACTAATAGTCACAGCATACATGGCAGCAAGAATAGCATCAAATTCAAGGTCAAAGACAGCTACACCCGCCCTAGACAGCTCGCCCCAGCGGGGGATCTCAGTGGCCTCAGGGAACTGGTGACACCAAGCGTCCGTCAGGCGGCCAAAGCAGCGCTGGGTGGAGTGCGCACCCCCACACTGCTCACCCGCGCGGTCGCCGGTGCGTAGGACGTAGGTGCACGGACCAGTACCCCCACCCCGCTGGCGTGCAGCGTACCACTCACGGAGCTGCTGAGGGGGGGGGGATGTCACGAGTGCGCTGCTGCCGCTGCTGCTGCTGCTGCTGGCGCTGACCACCACCGGAGCCGACCCTCTGTGCAGCGCCACCCCGACCAGCTCCACCTCCTCCGCCGCCGCCTCCTCCACCGCCGCCACCTCCACCACCTCCGCTCCCACCGCCACCGCCGCCGCCGCCTCCGCCTCCACTGCCGCCACCGACACCTCCACCCCCGCCACCACTCCCACCACCACCCCCACCCCCTCCACTGCCGCCACCGCCACCTCCGCCACCCCCGCCAGCCCCTCCAGCACCCTTGCCCCCCTTGCCCTTGCCGGTGCGGCGTCTCCCGCTCGGGGCAGACGCAGCGCCGACCGACTCGAAACCAACGAGGTCGGCCGCAGCAGCAGAGGCAACAGAGGGCAAAAGGGGGGAGGGGGAACACCCCTCAAAGACGGGGGTGCGAGGGTCACCACGAGAGGCTCCTACAGCGAGTATGCTCTTCTCTGCTGCTAGGAGGGCCTTCTCGAGGAGGTCAACGGTGAGAGTGGTGGGGCAAACTGAGAGGAAGTGGTCCCTGACTACGCGAAGGGAGTCAGGGAGCCAAGTGACTATGTAGTAGAGGGTGATGTACATGGGGGGGGGGGGTTCTTGGCGCAGAACTCAGCAGGAAGCGCAGCGCGGTAGCAAGTGTCACTAGTGCGGAGGTGCGTAATGAGGTCAGCGACTGTGGGAAAGGCAGCAAGGTCAGGGAAGAGGTACGGTAGCATGAGGCGGCTCAGTGCAGCAGTGGCAGGGGAGGAGTAGCGCGCAACTACAGCGTCGTACAAGGTGTGAGCACTCTTGTACTGGCTAAAGTGCGCACGCTCAGAGGTAGGCAGGTGGCGACGCACAGCAAGACGTGCAGCAGCATCGCGTGTGGCCCACTGTGAGCGAACAGTGGCGTCGGCATCAGCAGCAGGGCAGAGGCAGTGCAGTGACAGAGGCGCTGCTCTTACCGGACAGGGCGGCTCGAGCGGCTCGGCGGGTCGGCAACTCTGCGGCTCGGGCGGCTCGGGCGGCTCGGCGGTACGGCGGCTCGGCAGCAACTGCGGCTCGGCGACTCGGCGGCTCGGGCGGCTCGGGCGGCTCGGCGGTACGGCGGCTCGGCAGCAACTGCAGCTCGGCGGCTCGGCGACCCGGCGGCTCGAGCGGCTCAGGTGGCGCGGCGGCTCGGGCGGCTCTGGTGGATCGGGCGGCTCGGCAGTAGCTCGGCGGCGCCGGCGGCTCGGTGGTGACGGCGGGGCCGCGTGGGGACGGCGGCGGGGCCGGGTGGAGCGGCGGCGGGGCTAGGTGGAGCGGCGTCGGGGCCGGGTGGAGCGGCGTCGGGGCCGGGTGGAGCGGCGTCGGGGCCAGTAGAGGCGGCGCCGGGGCCGGGAAGCGCAGCTCCGGGCCCGGGAAGGGCAGCTCCGGGGCCGCAGGGGTAGGCGACGGGGCCAGCAGAGGCGGCGCCGAGGCAGGGAAGGGCGGCGCCGGGGCCGAAGGGGTAGGCGACGGGGCCGCGAGGACGGCTAGGAGGGGGGGGTCGCGAGTGCGGCTTGAAGAGGCCGCGAGGGCGGCGTGAAAGGGCCGCGAGGCGGCGCGACACGAAGGAGCCGCGAGGGCGGCGGATCGGGGCCGCGAGGGCGGCGCGACGCGGCCGCTAGGGCGGCGCGACGTGCAGGGGCCGCGAGGGCGACGCGACGGGGCCGCAGGCGCGACGCGACGGGGCCGCTAAGGCGGCGCGACAGGGTCGAGAGAGGGGAGCGCGACTCGGGCAGTGTAGAGCGCGCTCCGGGCAGGAAAAAAAAAAAGGTGGTGGGCCCTAGTAACAGTTCCCACAGGGGAACCTGCTCGATACCATGAGAAACTGAACGAGAATGAATTGACTAAGGGAAAGTTGGGTACAAATGTAAACCCTAGAAAACTGTACCCCATATGTGCTACCCCACTATAGCCTACAGTAGCTATGTCATATAAATCTGACAGAGGGAGACAGCGGGAGAAGGAAGGACAGTCAAGAAGACAGAACGCACAGCAGCTATGATTGAAAGCTAGTACATAGCAGCACTACCGAGACTTGTTACGCGTGTGAGGAGTTACCTTTTGGTGTGTTTGTCGAATGTCCTGGCTTTCGAAAAGGCCCGGATCATGTTGTTGATAGCGCCCGCATCGTAAGACACTGCCAAAGGTACCGAACCGCCCTTGCCCATGCGAGTGAACCTGAAATGCACCGACAGAGGCACAGTACAAGTAAGAGCAGGATGGAAGGCCTCAGGTACTACCAGATGGCGTAAAGCCGGAACTTGACATAGCGCAAAGGCGAATTATTGTCGTGGCCAGCGGAATCGCGGATACATCAATCTCCGAACTTACTTGACAATCGTGCCACCAACGCCCCGGAGGATGGATACATTCGAGAGCGTGAAGCCGCCAGCCGCCTTTGAATACGCCCTGTCGGTCTTGCCGTTCCACGAGTACGCCAGCACGTCGTTCGTGTTGCCTGTGAACCGCGACACGTGATTCCCCACGACCACGTCGGACGGAAACATCTTGCCGACGCTGCCCGTCCAGCCAACGGAAATCCAGCCCGACCCGCTTTTGTCCTCTAGCGCTGCGATGATTCCGTCCTTGGCATCGGTGATGTTCCAGTGGAAGAACAGGCTGTGATACACGCAGACGGGTGGGGAGTACGGGAGCCGAGAATGAGGGAGGAGCGTGGTGACTCGAGCGCTGCGATGATTCCGTCCTTGGCATCCGTGATGTTCCAGTGGAAGAATAGGCTGCGGTGGTACACGTAGTTGGGAGTATGGGACGGTGAGGAGGTGCAAATCACGACGAGTCGACCAATAGCGCAGACGCGAGATCCGTTGTTGTCACAAAAAATGTGCACGAGCTTCACCGCTGTGCGCGGTCTATAATTATACACATGGAAGGACCTCGAGATGCACAAACGTGAGGTCCTAAAGGTGGTTACTCATGGGGGAGCGGCTTATACATATAAAAGGACCTCGATATTTCGAAAAAAAAAAAAATGATATCGAGGGTCAGACATTCACCTTTTGGCGAGCTTGACGGATTTGGCGTAGTCCTTGAGAGTCGACTTCGCGCAGGCAAGGGGCTTGGGGGGCTTAACGGCGGCGGTGCTTGCCGCATCAGGACGGTGTCGCGCGAATGCGCAGCTCGCCGCGGCGAGGAGCAGAACCGCGAGCGACGCGGCTAGGAAGGAGAATCGCGAGTAGGCCATGATGATGGAAGCGAGATGAGAGATGGATGCGATAAGGCGATGTTCAAGTTGGAAGGTGTGTGAGAACGGTGGGTGGGAGGTGAGGCGAGGAGAACTGTGGAGTGTCACTTCCAATCCAAGTGTGGCAGGGCAGGCACTGAACGGGTTGGTTGGGTTTATTTTGTGGGTGTGATTTGAGAGGAGAAAGGCTCAATAACACGCAGGTCAACCCTACGAAGGAGATGTTGCCGATGCCGATGGGACGGCGGAGATTGCGCCACCTGGCACAAGGACAGTGGGGAAGAGAACCCGAAATCCCCGTCCCCACCAACTGCTGACGCATACACCCTCCGTGTCCCTTCTTCCTGGTAGTTTTCCTTCGTATCTCAACTTCCAAGCATTTTCTCATTCTCGGAGAACATGTGGTTGACCCTCCCAAAACATGTGGTTGACCCTCCCAAAACATGTGGTTGACCCTCCCAAAACATGTGGTTGACCCTCCCAAAACATGTGGTTGACCCTCCCAAAACATGTGGTTGACTTTCCGAAACATGTTTCTTTCTGGTGCATGTGCTTTGAGAATGTTAACTCGGTGTGTACAGTTCTGTATTTGGACATTCGAACGACGGTCAGCTCTTTGTTTTCTTCTGTGTGTCAGCGGATGGGGCAGTGGCTGGGCAACCCCGCCAGCTAAAACCTGTCGTGACTCTCGTCACGCGAGCAAGTTCGCCGCCCAGCCTGAACACCCCCACCCCACCCTCCATTTCCGCGTGGTCTCACAACTCAACCCATGGAAAGCATCAGCATCGCAACGAGAACACCTGCGAAGTGGAATTGTAACGCGAAAACACCTGGAGTGACAAGTGTCCCGTGCTGCGAGAAAGATATCGTGTCGTTAACCCACCTGAAAAGTTTCGCGCAAGCAGAAATGCTTCGTCTGCAAAAGTCGCACCTGTGCGCGAATTTTGCCCGGCCAGACCGGAATCGCCTAGAATCGCCCAGTGTCGTCAGCCAATCGAAACTCGTGCGTCCCCAGAAGCAATCCTGCAACACACTTATGCAACTGATGTTCTGCATACGCCTAACTTATTTTTAACACCACGTTACCCCACCATTAGTGGACGCGCTCTTGCTCTGCAAGCTCTGGTTTATGAGCATGTGGCGTTATCATAAGAATCTGCATTTCTCACAAACACTATTACAAGCATCAACAATCAGCAACAAGGTTGCACCCTTCCCAAGTGGGTGGTGGTGTGCCATAGTCTGTCGGCAGCAACGCTGGCTGTGTCACTGTCACCCCCTTCGAGCTGATTGTGGATGCTACATTCCTACTATATACTAGCAGTAGTACCATGATGCTAATCATATTACTGTGGAGCTGCGTGGGATTGCCAATACTTCACCTAGCATCCGAAGTTGACAGCGATGCTCCCCCTGATGGACAATAACAGCAATAGAAAAGGGGAGGGTTCAATGAGACCATATCAAGAATATGAAAATATGTGCAGCAGCTATGAATCAAAATGTAGTGAGGACCACTTTGCGAGACTGTTACAGGTGCGAGGAAGTACCTCTGGGTGTGGTAAGCCGTGGTGAAATCCTGGGTGTCCGAGAAGGCCCAGATCATGTTCTTGACGCCCGCCTTGTAGTTTGCGATAGGCGCCTTAATGCCCTTGCCTTTGCGAGTGAACCTGAAATGGCACCACGCGCGGATTAACAATTAGCACATGGAAACCCGCCGCTTCTGGTGAAACGAGATCCGAATATGTACCACGTGGCTAATGTTTCTCGCTGAGGCTCAGCGAAACGGAAAAACTTACTTGACAAGCGTGCCAGCGGCAGAGGTCTCCACAGATGTCGCCGAGAGCGCCACGCTGGCCGCAGTTGTCGTTTGCATCCCGGTCGGGTAGACCTTGCTCGTCATCGTGTAAGCCACCACATTGTTCGGCGCGGCTGTCGCGAGATTTCCGACCACCACGTCGGAGGGAACCATTTTGGTAGCTGTCTTCGTCCAGCCAATGGACATCCAGCCCGCCTCGGCGCCGCTGCCCTTCTTCGCCTCAATCGCAGCGATGATTCCGTCGTTCGTCTTGGTGAGGTTCCAGTGCAGGAGAACCAGGCTGCGGTAGGGAGGGGAGTGGGAACCGACGGCGAGGGAAAACTGAAGAGACCAGTGAAGCGGAAACACGGAATTTCACTGCTGCGAGCGGTTTTATCTTAAACCGAATGAACAGGGTAATCTAGATAGGAAAACAGCAGAAGGTCAAGGGCCAATCGCGTACCCATCAGGTGTGAGCTTGACAGACTTGGAGTATGGAGACAGACTCGACTTGGTGCATGCAGCGGCCTTAAGGGGCAACGCGTCGCGCCGCGAATGCGCAGCTCGCCGTGGCGAGGAGCAGAACCGCGAGCGACGCTGCTAGGAAGGAGAACCGCGACGAGGCCATGATGGTAGCGAGGTCTAGTGGATGGTTGCGATGCGATTGGCGAGGAGAGGATGTTGGTGAGCTGTGGGTGATCGGGAGTGGCGATTGAGAAGTGGCCGAGTCGAGGTGGAATGAGAAATTGCAAGATCCTCTCTGCCTAAATACCGATTTCTTTGGGTCTAGCCCTGAGTGTTGCAAAGCCGGAAACGCCAGGGCTAATTTCTCTGGTCCCTCCCAACCTGCTGGTTTGTTTAGGTTGGTAAAGATGGGCCTGACCGAACCAAATTCCCCCAGCCTCTCCTTCCAAACCTGGCGGTCGAGGAGAGAACGAACCGGAGGGCAAGCGAGCAAGGCGACCGAAACACCAGAACGAACCAAGCGATCGCCCCTGCTTCTTTGGCTCGTCACGTTCACTCAAAGCTATCGTGGCTGAGGTTGTTGATTTTCCCGATTTTTGTTGAGCGGTAGTTGGTGTTTCGAGCACGTGACCTCTGGAACAACAGATTCAAAGCATAGGTTCGGTGCGCATACACAAACTTCAGCCAGCTCAGCACATCGCCAGCTTACGGCGGCGAATCAGGAATTTGCGTGTCAGCATTGTCCTCGTGTACGCGTTTCACTGGTCACCGACGCTGACTCAGGTCCACGAAATTCAACGTGAGGTCAGTCTGCAGAGGTGATAGTATCGTCCCTTTCTTCGTTGTTGTCAGGAACTGATCGTGTGGTCGTCTATCGATTCCAGCCCAAAGACACATGATCTGCACGCGCAGAACCGTGGTCGGTGGTGGGTGAGAGCTTATCACCACCACATGGCCGCCATTGCCACCATCACCACCAGCTTTGATCCAGCGCCGACAAGCAGTCCAGTCCTATTTAATTAAAATATTTAGTGTGAAATGGAACACTCTTAAGGAATTTCTTTGGCATTCCTTACTGCGTTCTTCAACATCGCGTACAGCAGCAGCAGCCGTTGTTCTCCCGTTGCTGCTAACGAGGCTTCGCCAACTTCGCGCGCACTGATTTACCAAACCATGCACTGCTGGCCTGGCCTACGCTTCGGGACTAGCCCGAACCTCGATGCCAGCCTAGCACTAGCTAGCTCGCACGCACCGCGTTACAATTTGCATGTTTCGCGTATAAGTATTTGCTCATGCCTTCGCTCATGCCTTCGCTCATACTTAGTGCTCATTTGACACCTAGTGCAATATTCGCTATCTCGCTCCATTGCACCCGTAACACACGGTATTCAGAGCCACTTTCTTTCGGACTGCGCATCTCCGCACCCAGAGAAATCAACTTATAATTTATTGCACTCGAAGGGACTCACGCCCCTTAGCACCTAGGAGGCGCTGTCCTCGCATTCTCTTGTAAACATGTGCAGCCACGAATGCGCCTAAAGCTAAGACGAGCCGCCGCCCTTCGGAATGGCCGAACATCTCGACGTCACGACACTCATGCAGGAGCGTCTGAACGAACTGCTGCATCAGCTGCGCGAAAGCTATGAAGAAATCGCGGCGCTGACGGCAGAACGTATTTCACAACAATACGACATCGCACGAGCACAACAAGCACAGTCACAGACACAAGGCACATACGGACAAGCAGCACGACAAGTCGCAACACGGAAGCGTGGCGCAACCCTCGACTGGGCTAGTGATGGCGTCACCCGCAACGACGGAGACCACGACCACGGCACGACACACCCCGGAGCGACAAATGCGGCCAGAAGCCAACCTCGCGTCACAATTTGCACTGCAGTCGCCGATGCCGCTCAAGCCGCAGCGTCCGCCTTGTTTCGATTCCTGCACCCCTTCTTCCACGGGTTCATCTTCTTCAATTCGTAGTGTCGCCATTTGCCGTTCCAACACCACCGCTACCGCCGCTGTTGCACGAGTGTGTACACCCTTAAGAGAAGCCCATGCCATTGGTCCCTTCTCTGGTTCACGCTGGAATGACATGATGTGATGGATTTGTCTGCTCCCCAACGCTTGCCCAAGTAGGAGGTAGCCTTGTGCGCTCTTCCGCACCCACGGGCTCTTCTCCGGGTCGTTCTTGGGGCACCTTTCCGTTCCTTCCATCACCTCCAGCAGGTCATAGTGGTCAAATACGTTCTCCATTCTGAAGGACCATTCAGCAAAGTTGTCGCCATTGAACTTGTCAAGCCCGAAAACTCTTGGTTCATCCCTAGAAGGTCCAAGAGCAGGTTGCACGGGCGCCATGGCTGAATCACGGGCGCCTAGCCTACGCGCCCGGCCCGTCGCCCCTAGCCTATGCACGCCCGGCCCATCGCCCCTAGTCTACGCGCCCGGCCCGTCGCTCCTAGCCTACGCGGCCCGTCAACCCCTAGCCCGCGGCCCGTCGACCCCTAGCCCAGCGCCCGGCCCCGTCCCTAGCCCGCGCCCGGCCCCGTCGGCCCCTAGCCCCGCGCCAAGCCCCGTTCCTAGCCCGCGCCCGGCCCCGTCAGCCCCTATCCCCGCGCCCGGCCCCGTCCCTAGCCCCGTGCCCGGCCCCGTCCCTAGCCCGCGCCCGGCCCCGTCGGCCCTTAGCCCCGCGCCTGGCCTCGTCCCTAGCCCAGCGCCCGGCCCCGTCCCTAGCCCGCGCCCGGCCCCCACTTCGGCCCCTAGCCTCGCGCCCGGCCCCATCCCTAGCCCGCGCCCGGCCCCCCACAACGACCCCTAGCCCGCGCACGGCCCCGTCCCTAGCCCGCGCCCGGCCCCCCTCTGTCGGCCCCTAGCCCCGTGCCCGGCCCCGTCCCTAGCCCGCGCCCGGCCCCCACGACGACTCCTAGCCCGCGCCCGGCCCCGTCCCTAGCCCGCGCCCGGCCCCCTGTCGGCCCCTAGCCCCGCGCCCGGCCCCGTCCCTAGCCCACACCCGGCCCCCTGTCGACCCTTAGCCCTGCGCCCGGCCCCGTCGGCCCCTAGCCCCGCGCCCGGCCTCGTCTCTAGCCCGCGCACCCGACCCAGTCGACCCCTACCCCCTCGGCCTTTTAGCCCCACTGTCACTGCTGCTACTACTACAGCTGCTACTGCTATCCTGCGTACTGCACAGTTATGGCTTTGCTTCGGGTTCTCGCGTTTGATCATGAGGGCAAACCGGATCAGTTTGACACGTGGCTAGACGACCTGCAGCTGTACCTACTGAGCGATTCTAAGGACAGTGTCTCGCTGTTTGACCTAGCGTCTGGCGCTGCTACTGCCCCTCCCGCCACAGCTAACAGTTCGACTCTCTCACAGTGGCTTAAACACGACGCTGCTGCCCGCTTAGCCATTCGCAACCACCTGCCATTAGCTGAATGCGCTCACTTTGGACAGCACAGGACAGCGCACGCACTGTACGACGCTGTAGTCACTAGCTACTCCTCTCCTGCCACTATTGCTCTAGGCCGCCTCCTTCTGCCCTACCTGTTCCCCGAGCTGTCCACCTTTGCCACAGTCGTGGACCTGGTTTCCCACCTTCGCGCTAGTGATGCTCGCTACCGCACTGCCGTTCCCGCTGAGTTCCTTGACAGGAACCCGCCCCCGATGTACATCACTCTCTACTTTATAGTCACCCGCCTCCCTGACTCTCTTCGCTCTGTCAGGGACCACTTCCTCTCCCTTGACCCCACCTCCCTCGGTGTTGACCTCCTCGAGCAACATCTCCTCGCAGCTGAGACTAGTGCAGTTGCTCTAGGTGCTGCTCATGGCACTCCGTGCCCGCCCTTCTTTGAGGGGTGTTCCCCCTCCCCCCTTGCCCCCTCCTACGCCTCTGCTGCTGCTGCTGCAGACGTCTCTGTTCCTGAGGACGTCGGGGCTGCTTCTGCTAGTGCGAAGCGCCGCAGCAGCAAGGGCAAGGGTGGCCGGGGTGGTGATGGTGGCAGCGGCGGTGGTGGAGGTGGCAGCGGGAGTGGTGGTGGGGGCAGCAGTGGAGGTGGTGGCGGCGGTGGGACTGTTGGCGGGATTGGGGGCTCTGGTGGCGGTGGTGGAGGCAGCGGTGGGAGTGGCGGCAGTGGAGGCGGTCGGACTGGTGGCGGTGGGACTGGCGCTCGGCGTGTCGGTTCTTGGGGTGGCCAGCGTCAGCAGCAGCAACGTCGGAGCGAGACCCCGTCTCCCCAGCAGCTTCGTGAGTGGTTTCTGCATGGGGCGTCTGGGGGTAGTTGCCCGTATGTCATTCGCACGGGTGACCGTGCTGGTCAGACTTGCGGGCGGCTCCACACTCAGCACCGCTGCTTCTCCCGCCTCGACGACACGTGGCGTGCTGAGTTTGGTGACGACGTCGAGCTCCCTCGCTGGGCAGATCTGCTTAAGTCTAGGATTGCTATCTTTGACCTAGACTTTGATGCTATTCTTTCTGCTATGTATGCTTTGTCTGTTAGTGCTGAGGGTGACTGTTACCGGTGTGTGCCGCCTGACCCAGGTATAGCCGCTGCTGCTCCAGGTGCTAGTGAGTCTGGTACTCTCCCTGGTACTGCGCCTGCTGAGGCCTTGCACGCTTTCACATTGGACTCCGACGCCTCGCGCTGTTTCTTTCGGGACAGCACCACCCTCACTCCTCTTCCTGCACCTAACTTGGTCAGACGGGCTGACCCCTCCGGGGGACCAGTCGTGGCCCGTTCCTCCACTGTCCTCCCGTGTCCGGCAGTTCCGTCCGGCTCACTGTCAGGTCTTCACCTCCCCTCGTTCTCTACGAACTTGGTGAGTACAGCTGCCCTCCAG